GGCGCGAGCTCCGCCTCGGCCACCTCCCGGGGAGGCGGCGCGAGGCGGCCAAGAAGGAGGGGGGGTAGGGCGGAAGGGGGCGGAGGCGGGGGGCGGGGCCGACGGCCGGCGGCGGCGGGAGGGGCGGCGGCGGCGGGAGGGGAGCGGGGGAACCCTAGCGCGAGGCTGTGGTCGTCAAATGGCTAGATCGAAATCCATCGAGGGAGTAGTATTGATGTTTATTGCGGTCAGCCTCACAGGAGAGTTCTTGTTTTCTTTTCCTTTTTTTTGGCGAAAAGGAAGGGTTTTCGTTGAATGATCTCTGATCTGAAAGAAAAAAAATCTTGTATTGAATGTTCTCAGCTCCGGGTTTTGTGTGTGAATGATCTCTGATGCGGATTGAAGACGTGGGCATATTTTTCATGTTCACAATATATGTGGTTTTATTTATTGATGATTAGAAGTAGTAAAGGATTTTTTATGTTTTCTATTTTAGGTGAATAATGCGTACATAACCATGGCTTGCTAATTTCTTAATTATGTTTCTTTCCAGATGGTCACCCAAAATTTGCTTCACATTATTCTCTAAAAATATTACCCTCATTAATTCATGTTGAGAGAGACCAAGAGTCCTGACTTGGGTATGTTGGATGATGATGCTCAGCATGATTGTGTCAATAAAAAAAGGGATTGTGTCAACAAAAATGCTTACATAACCATGGTTTGCTAATTCTGTTTCTTTCCAGATTGTCACTGAAAATTTGCTTCACATTATTTTCTACAAGTGTTTACCTCATTAATTCATGTGGAGAGTCTTGACTTGGATATATTGGATGATGATGCTCAGCATAGTCGTGTCAATAAAAAGGGAACATGTTTGCATGTATGTATGCAGTTGAGAAATCTTCTAAATCTTAGTTGTTTCCTTGCAAACTGGTAGGGGCTTGAAGACATGAACTGTGATGAGTTGAGTGTTCTTTCTGGAAAATTGCTGCACGGATCTCGATAAAATGTGTGGTGGTGCATAGCTAGTGGATGTCCAGTAAGGTGTTTTGGATTTGAATTTGGAGAGCGGGGATATCGATACTGGATCTAGCAACTGGGAAGCCGTATTATACAGCACGCACACCAATAGATACTCAAACTGCACCGTAGTAGTTACTTACGATCAAGTAGGAAGCGTTGCAGGCGGCAAGTGCAGATTAAGTAAGATACGCACACTGCACCGAGCACTGACGGCAGTTAACTAAGCGTCGTTGCAGGTAGCAAGAGTGAACCTGCTAACTTAAGTAAGTAACCATTTTTTTTTTTAAAAAAGGAGGATGATCCCCGGCCTCTGCATCTGGGAGATGCATACAACCATTTTATTGATTATTCTCGAGGACCTTATAAAGTATTACAAACAATATACCTGAATCCACAATCTTGGCAACATATGCCGCTACTCCTATCCATATGATGAAGGGATGCTAGCTGGGCCACTACCTAAATCACTCATCTAAGCCTAACATCAAAAGCCGGAAGCCCCAGCCGAGCCACATACCGGGTCTGGGGCACAATCTGGTCAGACGCACTCGTGTGTCGTCGCCGCCATCTTTCACAGGTCCATCTTCAGATCATATTGAGGCTTCTATCTTGTCTGGTCACTCTGTCATCGACATCACCATGATGCCAGACAGCTACCTCCTCCTGCACGAGTCCATCTCCGCGTCTCGGACGCCGAGCCTCCAGAGCGCCATGCCGCCGATCTCCGCCGTCATCAATGTGTGAGATGAAGTACCGCTCCACCATCCCCCTAGCCATCACTTGCTCCAAAACGATACCCACAGGAGGGAAAGCGATAAAACGCCATCATCGTCCGATCCGGAAGACCCAGATCTAGGGTTTCCCCCAGAGCATCCCAAGCCTGATGACGCAGACTGCAACGACGATGCCTCGACAAGGGAACGACATCTAAGACGCCGTCATCGTCCGCCATCACCGTAGTCGACGCGATTTTCATCGGCAGTTGCTCCACCAGACGTGCACCACCGACGTCGCTAGTCCCTCCAAAACAATGACGTAAAGAGGGACTACGACGCAAAATCGCCATCATCACTCGATTCCAAGAAGATCTAGGTTTTCCCCCGGAGATGCCCGCGCTGTCAAGGATCAGACAAGGGTAGAATCCCGGCGGATCTGCCCAGCTACCGACGAGTCGCACCCGCCACCGTGCCGACGGCAGACCAGCGATCAAGGCCCAGGCGTGGGCATAGATCCGGCCGCGCCGCTGCGATCCGATCCGGTCACGCCGTCCCTGGCGACCGACACGCATCAGATCGCGAGGCCTCCTGCCGCAGGGGAGCGAAGTCGCCGAGGCGCCACCACCATCCGCCGTGGCGTCCGGCCCGCCGCCACGCTCCAGCCCGGGGGCGCCGGCCCGCGTCAGCCCCATGCGAGCGAGAGGGCCCGAGTCCCCGCCGCCGCCAGCGACGACCAGGCTTCGCCTGGCCGCGCCCTTGGGCGGCGGCGAGGGAGGAGGAGGAGGAGTGGGGGAGGGCTGGCCGACGGGATCTGGGGGCCTCCCGGCCGCCCATGCGGGGGGCGAGTCGGGAGGGGAGAGGGGAGAGCACCTTCAGTCAGAAATTGAAACCAAGTAAGTAACCAATGCCACGTGATTAATAGTCCCAAGACGATTAATGTGGCGCCGGTGACCAAACCAAGTGGATTCTTTCGATAGTTAAGAAAAAACAGCATGTAGAAATGGGCTTTGTGAAAAGCCAAGTACCATATTAATTAATATAGCGCTGGCGTATGCGGATATACATTTCTATCTACCCAGTTCATGGAGTGAGAAATTCTTTGTAGCTCATCGATCACCTGGATTTGTAGACACGCATTCATAATTTATCGTCCCAAATTTCAGTATACAACAACATTTTTGTAAGGGAATGGCAGGTGCTTTGCATTTTTTAGTACATGGTAGGTCCTTGCTTCAGCGGAGCCTCTTGTGGCTGTAGAAATGTATAGCACCGGAGGAAGAGCGCCAGCTCAGTGGCGCTGAGGCCGGCAAGCAGTCAGTAGAAGTAGTCGAGGTGCCCACGGTTGAGATTGTCCGCGAACCAGCTGTCGCCACCACCGCGGCTGGTGATGCGGTCGATCAGGGAGATCAGAGCGCCACTGATGAAGTTACCCATGCCGATCACGCTATAGTAGAGTGACATGCCCAAGCTGCGTAGCTCACCGGGCATCTGGTCGTAGAAGAATTCCTGCATCCCGACTTCCGCGAACACGCCTGCCACCCCGATCAAAACATATTGTGGCACCAACCACGCCCAGCACATTGGCACTGTTGCGTCAATATTGTCCACCAGCCCATGCTCGCGTGCTGTCTCAAGGCGTCGTGTTTCCACCAATGCCGCCACCAACATCGTAGCCAGGGTCAATGTCATGCCCGTGCCAACACGTTGTAGTAGCGTCAGACCCGACGGGGTGCCTGTCGCGTGCCTCAGCATCGGCACCAGCACACAATCATATATAGGGACGAACAACAGAGTTGTTGCAGGCCCTAACATCTGAAGCGCCGCCGGCGGTAACTCCAGGCTGCCAAAGATGCGGCGGTCCAGGGTGCGGGACTGCTTGTTAAAGAGTGTCATGAACTGCGCAAACACCACACCATATGCCAGGCATGCCGCCCAAATTGACAGCAACCGTACTATGCCCAAGGTTTTGGATTCCGAATGTGTTGGCACAGTCCCAACCTTGACGACGCAACTGTCGAGTACTTTCCAACAATGCGCGCGTACAAGCTACCACGGCCGATTACTTTCCGGTCGGTTCAGCGGAGACTCGCCGTACGTAGACGCAAACGGCAAGAGGTACACGTACCAAACGAAGCAGCCAAGCTAGCTGCTGGATGGATTTTCACTTAAAGTCTATACACGCACGTATGAGACTACAAGCCGCCGGCTTGCCTGATCAATACGAGCTAGTTTCAGCAATACACACACGGGTACAGGGGACGCCGATGGATCGCAACAGGAGCGTGTCGCTCCTGGGATTTTATTGCTTTGATCTGAGTTACAATATTACAGGAGATACATAAGTATATATATAGGTGTACGAGGTAGCTAACCTAGCCAACTAGGAAACCTATACGGTGACTGACTCTAGTCCGAGCCGGACATAGATCGTATCGTGGTTAATTCCAACAATCACCCCCCTAAACACGATGTCCTCACGTCACAGCTTGGACATCGATCCTTCGCCGCATCTTCACGAACTTCTGTCGTCCCAAAGATCTAGTTAGGATATCTGCAAGCTGATCATCGGTGCAAATATAGTTGATGTCGATCTTGCTTTCTTTCGCATACTCCCTTAGGTATCGATACCTCGTATGGATGTGCTTGCATCCACCATGATGCATTTGATTCTTCCATAGAGAGACTATAGACTCGTCATCAATGTTGAGCACCACTCGTTTCGGTTCCTTGCCTGTGAGGTCACCGAGTAGCCTTCCTAGGCAAATGCTTTGACACACCGCGGTTGCAGCTGCAATATACTCCGTTTCACAGGATGATAATGCGACCACCTTCTGCTTTTGTGGTAGCCAACTCACTATACTTCCTCCCAAGACATATGCCACGCCCGAGTTACTTTTACGGTCGTCCACATCTCCTGCCATGTCGCTATCACTATAGCTAAGTAGCTCCATCATCTCCTTCTTCTCTCTCAAATAGACACAACCGAAGTTTTTTGTCCCTTTGATGTACCTGAGTATATGTTCCACAGCTACCCAATGCTCCATCGTGGGTGCTTCCATGAAGCGACTCACCATGCCAACGGAATAGGCCAAGTCCAGTCTTGTATTCGTGAGATACCTCAACTTTCGGACCACACTTCTATACTCCATTGCATCAACCGCGGGTGCTTCACTTTTCTTGCTTAGCATAAGACGAGGCTTCATCGGAACATGACTTGGATTGCAATCTTTCATGCCACAACTTTCAACTACTTTCTTTGCATATGCCTCCTGGCATATTGTGATCCCCTCCGGCTTTTGTTGTACCTCGATCCCAAGGTAGTAACTCAAGAGCCCTAGATCAGCCATCTTGAATAGCTCCTTCATTTGTAGCTTGAAGTTTGCAATCACCTCTTCGTCTGCTCCAGTTATCAACAGATCATCCACATAGATGCCCACTAACAGACGATCCTTGCCTTTACCTCGCTTATACATCGTATGCTCCAGTGGGGTTTTCTCAAATCCAAGAGAAATCAATGTACGGTCAAGCTTGATGTCCCATGCCTGAGGAGCTTGCCGTAGCCCGTACAACACCTTGTGTAGCTTCAATACCTTGTGTTCCTCTCCTTCTTTGATGTACCCTAGTGGTTGCTTCACATATACTTCTTCTTCCAACTCTCCAGTCAAAAAAGTAGAGTTCACATCCATGTGATGTAGTCTCCAAGATTCTTGAGCCGCGAGAGCTATAAGTAGCCTCACCGAGTCTATCTTTGTAACTGGACCGAACACTTCTTCGAAGTCCACACCTTGCTCTTGCACGTATCCTTTAGCCACGAGCATTGCCTTATGCTTCACCAAGTTCCTTTCGCATCCTTCTTGACTTTGTATACCCACTTGAGCTCTATGGCATTATGTCCGTTGGGAAGATCCGCGAGCTCCCATGTATCTTGTCTCGGATCGACCCCAACTCTTCGTCCATAGCATGACGCCAACACTCTTCCGTCTTTGCGTCTTCAAAATTTTCCGGTTCCTCGATGTGCAAACATCGTTGCCCTTTACTTTTCATCTTCACCGAATTCATTCGAAGCGCTTCCTTAGATTCATGTGGCTGTTCTTCTGTCTCCAATGCTGTCGAAGACGTCACGTCTTTTGAAGTTGCCAAACCTCCCTTTACCGGCATTCTAGCCACATCCAAACTGCTCTCTAGAGAATTTGCAACAGTAGATGGGCTGATCTTTTGAGGCACGTCTATTTTTCCTAGACGTTGCCCACCTTGTAGTCCATCCATTAGGTCATCACGTGGATTCCTTAATGTGGCTGTTGTATGCAGCTTGTACTGGCCCGCTCCTTCTGGCACATGCGGAGCTGCACAAGGCCATGCAGCGCCTCCGTCGTTGCTGCTACGTACGGTTGCTGCTGGGCCGCTCAGTGCAGCACCCTTTCCAGCCGGCGTAGCGTTTGCTGTGCTACCAAGCAGAGCTGACACGACTGATTCGAGCCCTCCTGGCCGAGCGATGCTTCCTTCTGGATACTGGTTTGTCTGCACCATGTCCCTATATGAGTTCGACATGTCCCAGCTCGTCACGCCGTCCTCAGACGAGATGCCCGCGCTGCTTGCCGCTCCCGCATATGATTTTCCTGGTGCGTCCATACCGATCTGCTTTGTGTTGTGAACTTCTGACATCACAACTTCGCCTTTTTCTAGCGCGACCACACCATCTCGCATTGTGTCGTGGACTTCTGGCACCACGTCTACGCCTGAACTTACTGGTGTGACCACCAGGGCCGTACTAGGGAAAATGGAGGCCCGGTGCAAACTCAGAAAATGGGCCCTCGGCATAGCAAGTGGCAATGAGGAAAACAGGATCTAATTGCTATTATTATTACTATTATATATCATGTTGGTACATAGTACAATCTTCTGAATAACATCTTGTCGCAAAAGTGATTCTAGAAACTAAAAAATAATACATTATCTAGCAGAAGCGTGACATCCTTCTTGCATTCCTTGAGATAAATTCTTCAATTAGTTCCTCGTAAGATACATTCTCCAAGATGTCGTTTTCAATTGCTATCAAAGTCAGTCCACTAAGTCTTTCTTGTGTCATTGTAGAACGCAAATAGGACTTCAACAACTTTAGTTTAGAAAAACTTCTCTCCGCCAATGCAACGGTTACTGGGATGGTCAATAAAATTCTATATGCAATAGTTGCATTGGGAAAACAATTCAAGCGTTTCAAAAAATTTAAAATGTCAATAGGTCCCATATTTTTTTCCTTTGGAATGAAATCTTGGAGTAACTTTAACTCAACATATAAATCATTACCATCAATGTCAGATTTGTCACCACTTCTAAGTGCAGTCTCAAGGCTACTGCAAGAAGACCTCAAATTTTTATCATCCAATGAGTTTAGTGCATGAGAAGTAAACAAGAAACCAAAAGTTTTTTCGTATGATTTATATTGCTCAAATCTCGTAGTAAGTGAAGCAATAGCTTGATCAACAACAGGTAAGAAGTAGTTTATCCTAAACGACTCTTGTGCAGATTGTGAAGCATCTAACACATCATCAGGATTCTCATCAAATTGTTTTTTTCTTTTAATTTCACGCTTTTTCCGAAATGCAGGGTCGATATCTATTTCAAGTGCTATTTCCCTTGCTATTTCTACTGCAGTAGTGAAACCAGTGTCTCTGTAACCTTTAAAAAAGGTAATCAAGCCTTGCACTTTTTCAATGGCAACATCAATAAGCATATCTTTTGACTGTAAGTCCTTGCTAATCAAATTTACTGCAGCCAATATATCATACCAAATGATTATCGCTACTACAAATTCGAAATCACCAAGTTCATTATTTGCTAGAGATTTAGCTTCACTACTAGTTTTAGGATCTTTATCGACATCAGCTACTTGCAGTAGAGCTTTTCGTATGTCTGAAATCTGAAACCTAATAGCTTTGACACTATTTATGTGACTCTCCCAACGAGTAGATGAGACTGATTTCAGAGTCAATCCATCTCCTATATTATCTTTCAAAATCTTCCATTTCTTAGTCGAATTAGCAAATGTTGTGTAGATACGTTGTATGATTCCAAAGAAGTCCTTAGCTTTACCACAAGTCTTGGCCATATCACATACTGTTAAATTAAGGCTATGACACCCACATGCAGAATAAAAAGCTCTAGGATTTATATTCAAAAGCAAGGCTTGAGCCCCCAGATTCTTACCTTTCATGTTTGATCCATTGTCGTAGCTCTGCCCTCTCACATTGTCTATGTCTAGATCAAGGTTCTTTAATTCATCCTGCAAAACCTCAAAGAGTCATTTTCCAGTGGTATCATTTACATCCAAAAATCCTAAAAAGGATTCTACAACGGAAACAGAACTTGAAGATGTTTCAACATACCGTATAATCAAAGACATCTGTTCTTGGTGACTCGCATCAGGGGTACAATCAAGTATCACCGTGAAATATTTTGCTTCTTTTATTTTTTTAATGATCTCAGATTTAATTGCAGAAGCAATCAAATGTATTAACTCATTTTGGATGCCATGACCAAGGTAATGAGTATGAGTTTCATCATTTGTTATGCGACGAACATGTTCTTGAATAACCGGGTCAAACTCAGCCAACATTTCAACCAAGCCTAAGAAATTTCCGTTGCTATCTTGATACAATTTGGAATTAGTACCACGAAAGGCTAGATTATGTTTCGCAAGAAATTTAACAATCAAGAGAATTCTAAGCAATACTTTACGCCAATGGTCCTTTTCTTTCTCAAGTTGTTGTCGAGCAGCGCTATCAATAGTTTTATTCTGTTGCAACCTGAGGCGCAACTCATGCCAAGTGACCATATTTTGAAGATGTTCAGCTCCGGTTTCATGCTCTCTAAGTCTGATACTAAGGTGTATCCAGTCACTAAATCCCTCATTCGCCAAATGACCTCTAGCACGCCCCTTCCCAAAATTTTTGCAACAAAAGCAGAATACTCTATTGAGCTCTTTAGAATATACAAGCCACTCTCTATCACACATTTCTCCATTTGGCAAACCTCTACTATAAAACACAGCAGAAAATCTCCTACCAAGTTTATCTTTATGGCCCTTTTGGATAGGCGCCCTCTTAGGACCCTTCTCTACCAAATTATCAATTGCTTTAGAATCAAGGCCATCCCAATTTCGAGGATCGAATATATCAGGTTGCAAAGAAACATCAACATTAGCAGGTACTTCATCGCCATGATTTGCTTCATCGGGGTTATTATTCTCAACATGTACCTCATCCATGTTACTAACAACATTAACCTCTTCGCCCTGAGTTTCAGTATGGATAGAGTCATCGTCGTGTACATCATTAGTATTAGCATCTACACTCTGATTTTCAGAAGAAACCTTTGGTTCTTTAACAAAAAACACATCAAGACTACCTTTCAGAGATTCATCAAGTTTCTTTTTTTTCTTTTTCTGACGTTTTTCATATCCTGACGGGCACTTTCTAATTCTAGAGGACATTGCAGAAAGTAAACTAAGCGACAGATAAGGAACTAAAAACTGAACTTGCGGTCAAAAAGGAATGAAACAACTTGTCTTTGATTGATGTGAGAAGCAGATCAGGGGGAGCCAGGGAGGAGACGCTTGTTGCTTTGGCGACTAAGAACTCGTAGCCTTGTCTGGCCTGCCAAGCAGTCGAATCTCTATGACGAGCAGGGCCTCCAGGGATCCAGGCTCCACTTGATTCTGACACACGCGGGTCGCAGGACCGGCAAGGCGGCAACTGGAAATGAATGAGGTCAAGTGAAACACTGATTTGCAGGCCCGATTTGAGAGTTGAGAAGAACAGAACGCCAACCAAATAAATAGATGGAGATTGGAAGTAGACATTACCTATTCCACAGCTCATTGCAACGGATAATTTGGGGAAATCGCAATAAAATTAATAGCTGGGGGATTGAGAACGAAACGGCGGCTGCTAGTGAAGAGCTGGAGATTGATTCACGATCTGGGAAAGAGGAACGGCGGCTGCGTTGTGAAGAAGACGAAGAGAAAAAGAGAGACGTGCGTGAGGAAAGGGCCCAGTAGTTAATTCGTGCAGTCCCACCACCTTCTCTTGGGAACGCAAGTTGGGGGTTAATTCATTGTGGGGCCCTGATGGCATGCTGCACCATTATCCAACCTGTTTTGCACTAATTTTTGCTAATTACTCCCTCCGTTCCTAAATATTTGTCTTTCTAGACATTTTAAATGACTACTACATACGGATGTATGTAGACATATTTTAGAGTGTAGATTCACTCATTTTGCTCCGTATGTAGTCACTTGTTGAAATGCCTAGAAAGACAAGTATTTAGGAACGGAGGGAGTACTAAATATACTAGTACTACGTATATACAAATCTAGGGGCCCCACTGATTTAGGGGCCCTGTGCAGGCGCACACCCTGCACATGTCCATGGTACGGGCCTGGTGACCACATCATCACGCCTTGTGTCATGGTCTTCTGGTGCCACAACATCGCCTGCTTCTAGCGTAACCATACTGTCACGCTTTGTGTCATGGTCTTCTGGCACCACAACTTTGCCTGGGGTTACTGGCGCGGATGCACTCACCGGACCCGTGTCCAGTTGATCATGATCATCTGAATCCTCTTCGTCCACTAGCTCGCACATCAGCATCATATCCCCGTCGTCTCCTTCCTCGGCCATGAGCGCCCGTTGCTTCGGTGTTTCCTCGCAGTCAGTCTTGAAGTGACCGAAGAGGCCACACTTATAACACCTTACTTTTCTGATGTCAAACTTCCTCCTCGGTGGTTCAGGTGCAGCCTCGCCATCCAAGTCGGCGAAGTTCTTTCTCGCCGAATGCTTCTTGCCCTTCTTCTTGCTGCTTCTGCTGGATCCGCCTTGCTTTTCTAGGGCGATCCAATGCGCCTTCGTGAGCATCACAAGCTCGTCGTTCCTCCCATCCCCAAGACTGTACCACATCCGCTCATCGTGAGCCTTGTACCGTCCGACAAGATCGTCGATGGAGAGAGTCGCGAGATCGACGCACTGCTCGATCACCGTGACAATTTGCAGGTACCGGGGAGGAGCCGCGCGCAAGAACCGTCGGACAACCGAGGTCTCAGTGAGGTTTTCTCCAAGCGCGTGAATTCGATTGACGAGAGTTGCCACCCGTGAAGCGAACGCGTTCATGGACTCATCGTCGCCCATGACCAAAGTCTCGTAGTTCCTTAGGAGAGTTTGGAGATTGGCTTGCTTGACGCGGGTGTGTCCCTCGAACATGAGTTTCAGTGTATCCCACACCTCCTTTGCCGTTGCTTTGGCGATTAGGTGCTGGAGGACATCCATCGGCATCACCGAGTAAATCACTGACGCCGCCTGCCGATCCTTCCGGTGCTCGGCTCCCTTCTTCTTGAACGTGTCGCCTCCGGGATGCACCGCGTCCCATAGCTCGTTAGCGCGGAGACCACACTCCATGAGGGCCTTCCAGACCCCGAAGTTCTCGCGATCAAACCGTGGATACGACGAACTCGCCGGAGCAGCAATTACTTTAGCCGCACCAGAGTACTCCGCCAGCTGCTTATTCTTCTTGTCGTCCGCCATGATCCTCCATTACTAGAAGATCAACCTTGCTTTGATATCAATTGTTGGTACAGTCCCAACCTTGATGACGCAACCGTCGAGTACTTTCCGACGATGCGCGCATACAAGCTACCACGGCCGATTACTTTCCGGTCGGTTCAGCGGAGACTCGCCGTACGTAGACGCAAACGGCAAGAGGTACACGTACCAAACGAAGCAGCCAAGCTAGCTGCTGGATGGATTTTCACTTCAAGCCTATACACGCACGTATGAGACTACAAGCCGCCGGCTTGCCTGATCAATACGAGCTAGTTTCAGCAATACACACACGGGTACAGGGGACGCCGATGGATCGCAACAGGAGCGTGTCGCTCCTGGGATTTTATTGCTTTGATCTGAGTTACAATATTACAGGGGATACATAAGTATATATAGGTGTACGAGGTAGCTAACCTAGCCAACTAGTAGGAAACCTATACGGTGACTGACTCTAGTCCGAGCCGGACATAGATCGTATCGTGGTTAATTCCAACAAAATGGACAAATTTTCTCGTGAGGGGCGATATTTACGGTTACCACGGTTACCCAAAAAATCCGAACATATTTCGGAAGAAATTTATAATTGAATTTTGAATTCAAATTCTTCTAAACTAGATATAGAAAGAACTTGAACTGGCATTGTACAGAGAAGAGGTAGTAGCTCAGTGGAAAGCCTACTACGCCAGTCGGAGGTGTTGTGAGAACATCTCCAGCCGCGTCCTAGGAAGGCCTCCCCAAACGATTTTCTCGCGCCGGCGCTGAAAAAACGGCCCAGTCGCACCCCTAGGAGCCCGATTTTTGCCGGCCTGGGCCGAAAATAGCGCCGGCGGACCCAGGCCGAACCCGGCGCACTGGGGGCGCCCGGGGGCGCCGGGGCGAACTGTTTTGGCGCGAAAAAGCCGCGGGCCTGCCGCGTCGGCGACACGGCGCCTCGTCTTCCCCCAACGGCCTCGGTTCCCGCAGGGAATCAATGGCAAGGCTGCCGCCAGTCAGCCTTGCCATTGATTCCTCACGGGCGGCACGCCGACGCCTCCCCTCCCTCGCACACGTTCACACGGGCGCGGCACGGCTATATAGCCGGTGGCCTCACTCGCCTGTGCCCACACCAGCCCCGCCCCTCCCTCTACCTCTCCTGAGCGCCGCCGCCCAGCCCCTTCCTCTCCCTCTCTACCTCTCCCGAGCCCGTCGCCATGGCAGAGCATTTCTCCGAAGACGAGGCGGCGGGCAACGGCTTCGGCCGCCGTTCGCTGCGCGAACAGGAGTCCTGGCTCCTGTTCCAGGCGAACATCCCGGCGCCGCCGGACATGCGCGCCAGGCCGACGGGGTGGAGGCTCAGCGACGGGGGAGTGCCCGTTCCCCCGTTGCCCGACGTCGTGGCCAAGCCAAATTACTTCGCCGAGGAGGTCGAGGTCGTCCGCGCCTCCCTCACCGACGCCCAGCTCTCCCTCCCCCAGTATGCCGCCGACAACCTTGGGCGGCGTACTTCGAGCGCTGCCAGCGGCAGCGGTTGGCGTCCACCAATGACGCGCCGGTGGTCGGTGGCCAGAAGAACAGCGAGGGGCGCCACCTGTGGTGGGGCGTCCCCGGCCGCACACTCGAGGGCCTGCTGACGCACCTTGAGGGCGGCAATGACCCGCCGTTGGCGTACCCGGCGAGGGCGGCCGCCCCGGCGCCCCACCGACGCGCCGGGCCATGGGCGCCAAGGAGGTTGGGGTCCTCCTCCTCTTCTTCCTCCTCGCGATCTTCCTCGCACTCCTCCGGTGCTCCGGCCCTGCTCGGCGTCAAGGCCGAGCCCGCGGCGGAGACGCCGCTCGGCTGGCGCACTCGCAGCGCCGGCATCGTCATCAATGAGGGCGGCCGGTGCGCCTCCTCGTCGGCTCCTCCTCCGCGCTTCGTCAAGCCAAAGACGGAGCCGGGGCTCGCGCCGGTGAAGAAGGAGCCGGCTGCGCCGATGAAGACGGAGCTCGATGACGACGACGCGGCCCTGGAATGGGCGCGTAGGGACTCCATAGCGATGGAGAAGGAGCGCCTGGAGAAGGCGAAGGAGCGCCAGTGCGCCGCCCTGCGCCGCTTCGCGGAGCGCCGACGCGGCCGCGACGAAGGCGGGGTCGTCGTCATCTGCGACAACGACGAAGACGACGCGCCACCGCCACCAGCCCGCGTTGGCGACGCCGGTCAGGGGTCCACCAGGGACGGCCGCGTCAAGGAGGAGAAGTCCGACGACGGCGACTACTCGGCGATCAGCCAGTTTCTCTTTTAGTTTAGTTATCTATTTTACTATGTAATGAAAACCGGCGAACATGTCTAATATATGCCCAAGTTTGCCGAAATTTATCGTGTTTCGCCGAACTTTACCGAAATTTGCTATACAAATTTTATTTTCAAACGCGCCTGCGGGCGGCCTTGGGGCCGGCAGCTGAGGACCAACTCGCCCCCAGGCCCAATGTTTGCACCGACTCACCCCTAGGCGGCGATTTTAGGCGCCCGGGGCCAACGGCTGGAGATGCTCTGAGGTTGCGAGTTCGAGTCGTTTGCTCCTTCTTTTTTTAGGACTTTTTCTACTTGCGTGTTCTAAACATAAAAAATAAAAGCTTGCTCCTTCTTTTTTTAGGACTTTTTCTACTTGCGTGTTCTAAACATAAAAAATAAAAGCTGCGAGAAGAGGACTCGAACCAGGTACCTCTGGAGGTGCAAAACACTTGCTTACCACTACGCCACATACAAGAACACTATTTAAGTAAGGATGCTACCGTAGTTTACCCGAGTTTGAGCGTTTAAATTCAAAATATTCAAAAAAAATGGATTTTTTTGCCCGGGATTGGTAATTCTCGTGGGGCGGCGAGAAACGCGGATACCGCCCGGTATCCGAATTTTCCGGGCGGTACCCAAAACCATGACTATGCCACGCGCCTCCTCCTTTTTTACCGCATCCTCTTTCTGTTCTACCTGGTATTCTTTTTTGTTACCAAGCAATGAGCTCGAAGTGGCATTGTCATGTTGGGCTAGCGCGGCAAGGCTACGAGCAAGGAGGGCAAAGGGGTTCTCAGCACCGGGAGTGGGTGCATAGAAGCGGTATGTAGGGGTGCCAAGGAAGAAGACAACTAAGGCACCGAGCATGATGGTGCAGAGCATGCCAAACCCAATTCCCCAGCCAAGGTTCTCCTGTATGTAGCCGACTACACCAACAGAAATAGTGATACCTACAGCCAGTGAGAAGTACCACCAGTTGAACAAGGAGCTACGGGCGACGCATTCCCTGGGGTGGTTGGAATCGAACTGGTCAGCGGCAAAGGCCAATGCATTTGGATTGTCTGCGCCCTGCGTGATGGCGATGAGGTATAGGGAGGTGTAGAAGAACGCCACCCGCAGCGACAAAGTATGGGAAGAGGTGTCACCCGATAACGATGGATGTTGCGCCGTGAGCACACATGCTAGAGTGATCATGGCATACCCCTACACATGTAAAAAAATAGTTGTCAACGTTTGCTTAGTGATCCACCCATTAATAACAACTAGATGAAGTCCCACATGTAGTTGCGGAATATTTTGCAATATTTCAATGAGGTTTTTGGTTACACAAAACATCAATATTTGAAATAATAGTTTTTAAAAATATATAAGAATTTGATGTAAATAGCATAATAGAATGGAATTTTACATGCATACATGGTTGCATGGTAAAGTGGATTTTTAATATGCATAGTTGCATGTTGAGGTGGGCCTTTTTCTATGCATGTTGAATGATGAGGTGGCATGCTTGCATGTTGAGAGAAATATATTAGTGGGGGTTAGCTATTTAGTTATAGAAGATTTCAAAACTGCAAGAAACATTTTCTACGTGTATAATTTGAAGATATATTCTGAACCAGATTAGTAACGACTGGAAAAAAAAGCCTCCCACACCTTACCAATCGGCTTCTGAGAGGGATTTGTGAGATACTTATCAAATTTAAGTGAACATGTCTAATACTTGCATTTATTAATTCCATGATTTTCCTACATGAGAGAAACTTAATGAGATGTTAGGCTCATCAGATGAATATAACTCAGACACAAATATGAATGTCTTGTCATAGATATTAGGAAATAATATTGTGATTTTCTTAAATTCATACAATTGCATGTCACCCATTTTAACTTTAAATTGTATGTTCTCAAACCATAATCTAAAATACAATAGAAACTGCTTGTTTCTTATATTACAGTTAGTAGTCAATTTTTTATTTAGGTTGGAATGGATGGATAGGGCAATTCCTTGTCTTTCAGAAAATCTCTAAAATGTTCTACATCATAAAAAGTTTCTTCTTCCTTTAAATTGCAAAAATTCATGGTAATTTAATTACACATCTTTAGTAAATTCCATTAGGCTATAATTCTAACACTTTATCCACTATGAAATCTCCAAAAGTGCTCCCTTTGATCGAGTTTGTGAGGTCTGAGAATCAATTCGTCATTTTCCAAGGGAGATAACTACTTATCTTATTAATCCCTCCCTCTCTCTCTCTCTAGCTAATTAATGTAGAATGGCAGACAACACTTGTGCTTGCAATGGAAAAATCAATTGATCATGTTACACAACCGATAACTACTACATGGAGTGCGTGTTTTTCGCGCGTAATTAACTACACATCCTAATATTAGTGAATCGACCTCGATGGCCCTGGATTTACAAACATGAAAGTAGGGAGTACTTCTTAATTAATGAATGATTGTTTGGAATTATAAATTATCTTCAATGTAAAATTTCAATGGCCTCGAATTCTTTTCACACGACCAAAAGGTAAATTTTCTAAAATCCTACTACCGCGACCTCATCTGTACCCCCAAAATCACCTCTTGGTGTTTTTCCCTCCAAGACATTTGCCCTAGCTCCATTCCACAACTTTCCTGACTCGATGCCCCTTTGTCCAACTAAGAAGTGTACTATGCCTTTCTACATATGAACCCCAATGTTAGCTCTACACTAGATGGTTCTGGGCCCGGTTTCTATAGAATGTAATAGCACTTCATAAAATAAATAGTTCTCCCCTTCTTTTGGGACTTTCACAACCAGATGGTCCATCTAGAGGGTTTCAATAGAGCACATACGATTCTCCTCCGCAAGGGCATCATTGGTAGATCTGCCAATGACTATTGACACATCCCTCTCAAAAATTGCCTGCCCAAAGCCATTGCCAAGCTTCTAACTACCAGTCTAAACCCCCTAACCCCCCCTCCTTACTCATGGTGATCAAGCTGGATACATCAATGGCATGTCTACCTGAGAGAATTTTATTTACCTGGCATCTCTCCAGGAAGACACTCACTATGATCTTCAAAACACGATTCCCATTAAGCTTTTGACTCCATTGTTTGGTACTCGCTTCTCCTCATTCTTACACACATGGGTTTCCAACCAGCCTGGTGCTCTTGGATTCACACACCACTCTCCTCCGGTAAAATGGTGGTCCTCCTGGGTGGTGTCCATGAAAATTGGATTAACTGCAAAATGGGCTACATGAAGGTGATCCGGTCTACCTCCGCATCATTTTTCTGGACTTAGTACAACACCAAATGATCATAGCCCACTCAGATGGCCTTCAACGCCCCACCCCGCAACCCTAACATACCCCTACCATCCTCCAATATGCAGAAGACATGCTGATTATATCCCACACCTCCTAGAGGTTGATAACTAGTTTACGACTATCCTCGATGACTTTGGCTAGCCATTGGTCTTTCATTAAACATCCACAAAGCCACCTTTCTCCCCATTTATTGGAAATATGCCCTAGAGGCAACAATAAATTGATTATTTTGTTATTTTCATGCTCATAATTAATTTTATATTTCTATGATATAATAGCAATGGTTATTGAATATGAGATTCAAAGGAAAACTCAGTTGCATATGTGAAAACATAGACACCATAAAGATCCATAATCTAGCCTCTAGGACTAGCTTATATTGTTGATGATCCTTTTTACGTGATCATAGGCATTTTCAGTGTGACAAGGATGCAGACAATAATGAGAACAGATTGTTACGAGATCAGTGGTGTTCGATGGACCAGACTTATGAAGTACTGCGAGATCGCGTTGTATAAATTATTATTGATATTTTCTATGAAGTGTTTATGTTTACTTGCGTCCTTGGACCATGAGAATATCATAGACATGTATATCAGATGGATAATTTTGATTTTGCCAACGTCACACCATAACTGGGTTATTATAAAGGTAGATGACAGGTATACCAAAGAAGTAAGTCACAATGCTCGATAGTTTAAGACTGGGATTAGCTCATCTGACGATGGTGTGATACAGTTTGGGCCCACTCAATATTTCTCTATCCAACATTGTCTGGCCAGACATAGTGATTGACATCAAAGGGATAAAAGAATGAAGAAACAGAAAAGAGAACGAAATTGGTAACGAGGATAACTTGGTATAGTGATCAAAGTGTTGATCACGGGGATACCAATAAAAGCCTCGCATTGGGTTTTATAACATGTCCTGAAGCAAAGAGAATTGTATGCGATAAAGTCAGGTTCGCTCGATAAAGATCCTCGTGAATATGCGAGAATTATTAAGGGTGTCCAGACCTACTGATTATTATTGACCGAAGGGTGTTCTAGGTGATGTCTGCATGATTTCAAACCTATAGGGTCTCACGCTTAACCACTATTGGTTTCTAAGAGAACTAGGAGATAATTGATTGTGAAAAAGAACTTTTGAAGGTGCTCCGGATGATCTCAAAAGTATCCCGGGAAGTCCTGGAATGTCCCCGTGATGATCAGAAGTGTCCCGAAAGGTGTCAAAAGGTTTTAGAAGCTACTAGGATGTTCTAGAAGGTTCCTCATCAGCCTACGCCCTACTTCCATGTGGGCAATGCTGCCCATAGTGTCCCATGTCGGCAGCCCCAAGGGAAACTTGGGTGGCAAGGTCACCTTCGCTACTCCCACACAATTGTTTATAAACACACCAACCCCTCCTTCATCTAGATAACCGCAAACAACCATGAACCCACTCCCTAACATATCTCCTTTGTTCTTACCAATAATGGTCTTACCACCTTCTTCTAGGAATATACTTGGCTCCTCAAACAAACCCCTTATGGTGTCTCACGGATCATGCAAAACGGGCTATTGTCTAGCCTACGAAACCACATTACTAATGTTGCCTTGTTCGATTTAGATGTTGTGCTATCTTTATTGCATGATTTTGCTCCAAACGATAGAAATGATGAATGATTCCTAATCCGGACCCCTTCCCCTAATAGCATGCTTACTCCTTCCTCACGATTGAGTAGGACAAAGACTCCAACGCCCTTCTTATTTGGAACTCCAAGATGCGAGTCAAAGTATAATTTTTTAGGTGACTACTCTTCAAAGATGCACTAAATTCAAAATGCAACCTCTTACACAAGAACATCCACAATACATCCTTCCCAAGATGTGATGCCCGCTGCGAGGATGTACTCAACTTATTCACCCAATGTCCATGTGGTAAGGCTCCCAATGCCCACCTCCATTGACTGCCTTTGGGATGTCCCCTTCCGGCTCATCCTCGACAATAACTTATGGCCATCAGTGGCTCTTTCCATTCTGTGGAATATTTGGGAATCCAGGAACTCTGGCGTCTTCCGCAATGAAACGCACTCTGTTTTTTGCTTCATGGGAAAAACTTCTGATATATTCATCAAACAACATGGGAGTACAAAGAATACTAGATGTGAGAGAAATTACATCCATGTCTGTAGACACCTAGCGAAGATTATAAGCACTGGAGCGAGCCGAAGGCACGCCGACTCCATCGCTCCCGCCTCATGAGAACTGCATGTCGGAAGGATCTAACTAGTAGGCACACTATCGCAGCCAAACGAAGACCAGGTCCAAGAAGATCCAGCAAAGACAAACACCGATCGATTCCCGCGAGATCCGCCGGTGAAACAACTCCTCACCCCCCCCCCCAATGCTAAATGCTCCATCAGAGCGGGGCGGGGGGGGCTAGGTGGGGAGGACCTTATTCCATCTTTAGGGACCCGCTGCCTCCTCACCTTCCAAAGCGGGATACGAACCCTAAACATAATAAAAACCGAGCAGGAGCGCTCCTGCTGTCAAGGGTCGGGATCCACCATGCCTCCATGGCCTAAGGCCATAGGAGATGAGAGAGATCGGCAGTAGCGACAGAGGGAGGCGGGAAAAACCTTGTCGCTAGGGAGCCGTTTGATGGAGGATGAAAACTTGCACAAATACTCAAAGTTTAACAAAAGACACTCTGTTAGTACACTATTAGGAATATTCTCATCGACTTCATTATTTGGTCCTTTAGAGTTAATGGGTATGTAGGGTTTGAGCCCCAATATCCCTACCAAAATTTTGGTATCGCCAAAACAAGGGAATTACCAAATATTTGAAAAGAATCAATCATTTGGATTGCAACCATTGCCATTTACCAAATATT